TTCTTTAATGCTACATCTCAGTTGCTAGAATAGTAGAAGCTCAATTAAAAAACTGGGGAATTATGCTTCTTCAATAATTTCTAAAATATTTCTTTTTTCCCTAGCAGCCCCACTTACATAGCCATGATCACTGCAGTTTTGTGTAAACCACTGATCCCTTCTCACCAGGGCACTGAGGAAATGTTAGTGTGCATACTTTATTCTGACTTGGAATCCATTTCTCTCCTTGTCACGCTAGCTCTGCTCTAGCATCTGAGTCACCCCTGTTGTTTCTTTATCTTATGCTTACAAGATACAGAAACTATATACTGTCAGTTCTGGGGTCCGAAATGGTATACAGGAAATTCCCTATTTTGTACATAATATATTCCTAAAAATTGTTACAAAGTTTAATGTCTGAAAGTTGGGCCATAGACATATATGTTATAGTTGTTTCTATAGAAATCAAACAAGGAAAAAATAACTCCTGAATTATATATTTTCTGACACTGCTCTCACAGAGCCAAGCAACACTGTTAGTGGGTATGACCTTCACGGGTATCTGGGGATTGCTGACTTGAAAGCCAGTTGGTCATTTCCTTGTCCTACCACAAGCAATTAGTCCAGCATTCTCTTCCCCCAAAGGCCTGCCATCTCCCACCTGGGACCCTTCTAACAAAGGCAGGTCAGGAATTCAGCCTCCAATCTGAACCTGGTTAGTTTCTGAAGCAAAGAGTGAAGGGTTGTTGTTTGTCTCCTGACCACATCTCCCAGCCAGGCTGAGGATAGAGAACATCACGAGGCTGCACAGCTACCTGCTTCCAGCCCAGCACTGCCCATTCCACTTACCACCATCCCTTGTCCCCACTGAGGAAGCTTTGGAGTAGAGGAAATTTGAGCCAGGAATGCAGATACCTGCCCTGAATGCCAGTCTAATGAGAACAAGATGGGAGGATGAGAATACAGACTCATGCAGTATTTTGAAATTATTAGATAGCTCAGGATTGTCCAACCTGCAGCCCAGGATGGCTTTGAATGTGGCCTAAAACAAATTCATAAACTTTCTTACATTATGAAATTTGTGGGGGGTTTTTGTGTGTTTTTTAGCTCATCAGCTATCTATGTGTGGTCCAAGACAATTCTTCTTTTCAGAGGCCTATGGAAGCAAAAAGATTAGACACCACTGAAGTAGATGATATGTAAAAAATGGAATTTGATATATGTCATGTGTGTCAGTATCTATCTAAGGTGTCAAAATTAAGTGAAATGTGAACACAGAAGGTGGCACACTGCACGGTGTTGTCATCTGCAAGCACTCAGTGTTCACTCTAAACTGCTACACCTACTCAATTACCAATTATGTTATTTCTCTAGTAATTTTCCCCCATTTGATATTTTATAAATATGAAATACTGGAAATGTGTAGCAGTAAAACTCCTATGAAGTAAACACTCCTCTACTGCCTTCTACAAAAATGTCTCCTACAAAGATATCTGTTGTAGTCACACAGTGTAAAGGGCATCTCAGATGTGTTGAAGACTTTCCAAACTGAGTGTTACCAGAAAGATTCTTCCCTGGAGTCAAAAGCCATTTCTACTGTACCTATGCTCCTTCTCCCATGATCAACAGTTCCCTAACTGAAGTAATGTTAAAAAAAAAAAAAAAAAAAAAAAAAAAAACCTGAGCTGACTGCCCTCTGGGGTTTTTAGAATTTGCCAGTTTTATGTACATGTGGGTTACCAAAACACATGGCTTCATATAAAACTAGCATTGCAAATACTTCTATAAGTTTATATTTCTACAGATGAACTTTCTAATATATCTTTAATGTTAAAAGGCACTGATAAATACAGATATGACATATTCAATTAGAAAAAAATTTGGCCATTCATATATAGAAGCTATAATTTATCATATAGTTCAATTATCAATAAAAACTAGAGAGTTAAACTGAACTTACCTGGATTTTGAATTCTCTGATTCTACGAACCTAGACCACAGTGTATATCTGTGTATGAATCACAATTTATATAATTTTATATTTTTATATTTATATTATGTATACATAATTTTATTTTTTATTTCCATAGATTTGGGGGGAAAGGTGGTATTTGATTACGTGATAAATTTTTTAGTGGTGATTTCTGAGATTTTGGTGCACCTATCACCTGAGAAGTATACACTGTACCCAAAGCATAGTCTTTTATCCCTCACCCCCTCCCACCCTTTCCTCCAAGTCCCCAAAGTCCATTGCCACAGTATATATTTTTAATCAATGCCTACTGTCTCTGAATCTTCAGTCCCACATCCTGTCCTCCAGGGGAAAACCATGGACCATAATCAGAAAGTCTACCTGAAAACTTGAATAAGGAGACTAAAGGCAGACTTTCATATTACTAAATTAAAATATGGACATTGTCCTCTGAAGCTAGTAGCTTCAAAGAACTAACACTGAAACCAACCAGGTCCCTATGGTGTAACTAATGCCCTCATAAGTCTTCAGATGAGAACCTCTTCACAAATATGGAGAAGGACTATGCTCAATACAAGAAGCAGCCTCTTTCTGTAAAAACCCACAAAAAAGATGCAGAAGGGAAACACACTGCTATGAGAGAGACTTCCGTAGAAGTCTTTCTGCTATCACTGCCTAATTTACACCCTTAGAAAAAAATGAGAGAAGTAGGGAAGCAAATAGACTTACAGCTAGCATTCATAATGTGTTGGTGTAAGTGGGTGTCGTATGGTAATTCAATTGTAATGCAAATCTTTTACCTGTGAGAATCAAACCTGACAAGTTTGCTGACACACTCAACTGAGTAATTCCTGGAACTATATTTCAGTTGCAGTGGTTTAGGTTAGGTATAGGATAGTATTTTTAAAGTGGATATTTTAAGGGAAGCCCTTATATAATTTAGTAGACAGGTTAGAAATATAAATATATCTGTCTTCATAGCAGCAGATACAGAGGTACAGTTCAGCTTTGAATGACATCACCATTATTTTTAAAGTAGGCTACATGAAAGTTTAATTGTAGAGCCTAGATGATGGACTTATAAATATTCACTATATAATTATTCCAACTTTTCTGCATATTGTAACTTTTTTATAACAAAATGTTGAACCAGGCAGAGAGGAACTCGAGCCATACAGAAGGAGTTAGTCCACTGAGATCAGTTTATCAAATACTACACTTGGCTCCAACACACACTGGTAATGTAATTGAGCAGCCTCAGTCCAAAGGTGATCTAAATGGTTCCCCAGGTTTGGATGCATGAGCTCACTTCTGACCATTCGAATGAGCTTTAACGGCAAAGCACGTTAGAAAACAGTAACCTCTCATGATTGGGTAAATTTCTGTCGGTAAATAAAGATAAAAAAAAAATCCATCTTTATTCTTTTACAAAGGAATCCAGAATCAGTAAGAAAGACCTTGGCTTTGAATTATAGCTCAGATCTCTACCCCACTGCTTATATACTGACCAATATGGTTTGTCTGTCTCTACCCAAATCTCATCTTGAATTCCCACGTGATATGGGAGGGACCCGGTGGGAGGTAATTGAATCATGGGGGCAGGTCTTTCCTGTGCTGCTCTCATGATAGTACATCTCATGAGATCTGATGGTTATTATAAGGGGGAGTTTTCCTACACAAGCTCTCTCTCCCTTGCCTGGTGCCATCCATATAGGACATGACTTGTTCCTCCTTGCCTTCCGTCATGATAATGAGGCTTCCCCAGACATGTGGAACTATAAGTCCAATTAACCCTCTTTCTTTTGTAAATTGCCCAGTCTTGGTTATGTCTTTACCAGCAGCGTGAAAATGAACTAAGACACTGACCAAACCTCCTGATCCTCTCCCCCTACAGTAAGAAAAAACAAGATACTAATTTCCATTTTATACAGTTGATGTAAGCATTAAATAAATAGATTTTTATAATTCTAAGCACAGTATGAACATATCATAGGAAACTTTTGGTTATGATTCCACATTGGCAGAGCCTCTTCTGGGCAAAAGTTTGTCTAGAACTTTTTTAATTGCTTTTAGGCAATGGGATGTCAAATTATCATCATTATTATTTTATCAAGAATGCTAAAAACATAGATAAATTCTGTTAACCAGACTCTGTTTTCATTAAATTAATACAACTAACAGTAAAATATTGGGTTGCTGAATGATGACCCCAAAGTAACTAAAATCCTGAAGTTTCTACTAAATCATGTAAGTGCGATGAAGGGAAGGAAAAGGGAAAGACAGCTGTCCACTCTCCTCAACCTCAGTTCCATCTCAGCCTACCTCCTATTTTATTTATCAGGATATGGAGAAAGAGAAAAGGAAACAGCAAGAGATAAATCTTATAAAAGCAGTTTAATTCTTTTTGTCTAGCACATTTCTTTTTTTTTAACCTAATAATGTTAATACACCAAATGCTAATGGAGCATACTTATTTTTGTCACTACCTAAATAATTATTTTACAACATACTTATGAATTAGAAAATAAGAAAGAATCGAATATGCTAAATACAATGAAATATGTAAGAAGGTGAGGAAGTTTACTTATTATATTCAGAAATGCATGTTATTTTAAAATTCAGCATGACAGTTTTTCTTTAAGATAATAAAAGAGAATTTGGATTTAAAGATGGCTAAAATACTGCTAAGAGTTAATGAGAGAAATGAAAATAGTTACTATTTGTATTATTAGTCTTGTTGGGGTGGCTGAAATGGGGTATTCGCCTGATGCACTGGTTGCCATGGTGTATATTGTTGGATTCTTCAAACAGAGCATAAAACAGTTCTGTAACCAATAACACAGGTTGAAAGAATGCATTCTACTGCACAGATTACAAAACAGCTTTCTCATCTCTCCTTTTTTCTAGAAACACCAGGAGGAGTCACAAGATGTATACTAAATTATGAGATTTTTCTAGAACCGCTTAACTGAAAGGTATAAACAGTATGTTCTTAGTAGTACAGTTTTGACTTTGACTACTTTTTATGTCATTTTTTTCCCATCTACAGGGCACAGCTTCCAACAGGGATTGATTGGACACATGAGAGTCACAGATCACACCCACGGTGCCCTCTACCCTCTCTGAATCTTCAAAGGTCTCTTCTTAGTTCTCTTCAACTTTTCCTCTTGGACATAGGCACTGTAAGTTCCCCCTTAGCTTGCCTTTAATGTTTTTAAATTTCTTGTGTCAACTCAATTCTGTTTTCAAGAACATAGTAATAACTATGTGTTTTTAAAATTAGTATCTTAATTACTAATTTAAAATTAGTAAGATAATTTGTTGAGAACAATTATCTTCTTATGCTACCTAGCAGATTTTCAGAATTGGCTAAATTCATATTCTTCATACAAATTAGATTACTCTGCCTTTCTGATTACCTTGTATTGATAATTCTATAAAATAATCTGACTTTTCAGCATTTGTCAAAGATGATACGCATGTCCTGAAATTTAATGCTGGAGATTAATCACCTCTAACTAGAACCGTTTTTCTCCCTTCAGCTTCCATAGCCCATGAATTTTACACTATGGCCCATCAATGACCACATCTCCTGCATCCGTCTCTTCCTCTATCTTTTCCTCAAAAAAGATATTTATTGAAGTTACTTCCTTTGACCAGTTTTCTTCTCTTTCTGTCATCTCTTCCTCAGTGACCTTTTCCTTTTGTATGGCTTCAAAAATATCCTTTATGATGACACCCAGCTCAGTCTAAGTAAGAAGTAACAGTCCCCGATTTTTCCCTTCATCCTTCCTCACTAAACAAATATTGTGCCTGTACTAGTTTGCTATGGCTGCTGTAACAAACTACCACACATAGTATGACTAAACTGACAGAAATGTATTTTCTCACAGTTCTGAAAGCCAGAAGTTCAGGATCCATGTTTCTTCTGAGAGCTGGGAGAGAAGGATCTATGCCAGACCTCGGTCTTCAGCTCATAAGTGAGCTTGTCCCTGTGTCTCCACAACATCTTCCCTCTGTGCATTTCTGTATCCAAATCTCTCATATGAACACTAGCTGTATTGGATTAGAGGAGGCCTCATTTTAACTTACACACCTCTATAAAGATCCTATCTCCAATTAAGGTGACATTCTGAGATACTGAGAGTTAGGACTACAACATATAAGTTTCTGAAGAGACAGAATTTAGTCCATAACAAAAGTTGTACGATTACATTGTATTGAGATATGATTATGCAATTAAAACTTGCAAAATTAATACTACCTTATCATAATTATGAGGAAGAGGCTAAGGTCAACCTTCAGGTCAAAGACCCAAGAAAGAAGTGGATCTATAGACTAGAATCAAGATTGGTCCCAGCTAGGGAAGAAAGAGGAACTGACCTGTCTTGCTCAAAAATCTTAAGAAGAAAAGATGGTAGAACTGAGATCCTGGATGACCATCACATGGAGGGAGACCAGGAGCTAGGAAAAAATATATCTACATACCTGTAGCCGGTGCCAACTGAACCTAGAACAGAGCAATATATCGTGAACCAAATTATCGGCCACGCTTAATATCTTAAAAAATTACTCTCCAGTTCAAAATCTCTCAAATGGTTAGTAGCCTATGGCTTCTTCTCAGAGATGGACAGTGAACATTTATAATTTCAAAACTAAAAGTCCAGTAAAAATAAAGTAAAATAAAATACTATTTTCATAATTTTAAAAACCTTTTTTTCTTTTAACTCCAGCATTTCCAAACTTTTTTTAAATTCACAGACCAAAAAGCTCTGTTTTTCAGAACACACTGAGAAGTGCTGAGTTTGCTGAAGCTTTTTTTTTTGAAACATTTAAACCTTGTCTCAATTGAACGAGAAAGAATTAAGGGAAGGGTCATTGCTGTTCCTGTACCAAAATGAAAGTTCCGCTGCTTCCATAAACATTACGTTGATACGGACTACTGCTGAGAGAGACAGAAACTCCTTCACACCCCCACTCCCAGGAAGATGTATTTTATGACTGTTGAATGAATACAGTTAGGGTCACAAAATCTGGCCCCCACCTAACCTTGGAATTTTGAGATTTATTTTAAAGAAAGAGGCATTACTTCACATTCCCAAATTCCTATCTCTAGTCCAGACTTCCTTTAGACCTTCAAATTTTGCAGCATCTTTTTCCTTTTCCACTAATGATGGTATTCTCCTATGTCTCTTCCTTAGGTATATCAGCAAAAAGATTAACTGCAATACTCTAATGCCAGTACAGAATTCACTACCGTCTTGTCAAGCCAGTTCCTCCTTCTCATTTTATTACTCCTGTTAAAAGAACCATCACCCTACCAGTCCTCTCAACCTGAAACTTCAGTCTGTCATTCTTTCCTTATTCTCATCCATGAAGGTACTAAATCCCATGGGTTCCACCTCTGCGAGGTCTCTTTCATTCCAGGTTATCGCCCTAACCCAGATCTTCTCATATAAACTCTCCAAACAGGCTGGGCACGGTGGCTCAAGCCTGTAATCCCAGCACTTTGGGAGGCTGAGGCGAGTGGATCACGAGGTCAAGAGATGGAGACCATCCAGGTCAACATGGTGAAACCCCGTCTCTACAAAAAGATACAAAAAAATTAGCCGGGCATGGTGGCACGTGCCTGTAACCCCAGCTACTCAGGAGGCTGAGGCAGGAGAACTGCTTGAAGCCAGGAGGCAGCGGTTGCGGTGAGCCGAGATCGCGCCATTACACTCCAGCCTGGGTAACAAGAGCGAAACTCCATCTCAAAATAAATAAAATAAAATAAAATAAACTCTCCAAATAGCCTCTTAACCGTTTCTCAATCTGCTTCTCTCCTCCTCCTCTTCATCCCCTGTATTTCCACTGGTTAGTTTTCATGAAGGCAACTGACATTTCTATACAAGCTCTGATATCTTGCCATTGCCTACCAAGTCAAACACAAACTGGCATTATGCCTAAGATTTCTACTCTGCAGTTCAAGCCCAAATTACTGGTCCAACTCATCCTTCCCTTAATCACATGCCAGAGAAGCCTTGAGCGTGCACTTCATTTAAGCACATCTCTCCCATTGTTAGCTGAAATGTTCTCCCTCCACACTCTTCCTTCCGTCGCCTCCCAGATCCATCTCAAACATTTATACTTTCACCCTGAGCCATGGTGTAGTGAAATGGTGAACACAAGTGTATACAAGCCTTATTATCAGGCAGATCTTGGTTTATAACTCAACTCTACCTCTCATCAGCTGTAAGCTCTTAGGCAACCTCTCTAATCCTTACTGCTCTCATGTGTTAAGCAGCCAATAATAAGCTTCCAATTTGCCACACATATTTTTCATAAGAATTAAATGAAGCATATGCTCGCTTCTGGCATGTAAGCATTACCATTGGGATCACTGAAATCTTTCCCAACTTCCTATATTCTGAATGATCTCTCTCAATTAAAAATCTCACGATTTAAGAATCGTACTTTATAATCAGCTTTAATAACAGAAATATATTCTGCCCTGAGCACCCCAAAGAAAAAGACTACAGCCCTGTTAGCATTTGCTAGCACACTTGACACAATATTTTGATTAGAACATTCAGTCCATGTATGTTAAAATGAATTGAGGTAACATAGTTAAGAAGGGCCCTCATTTGCAATACTTCTTTCACAAGAAGTCCTTCTTTCATCTGCCGTTCACAGTTATCTATTGTTGATGGCAGCGACAGCCTGTCCAGAGTGGCCGCCATGAAAACGCTGGCTGCAGCGGGGGAGGTGCAGCTGGGGTTGCACATTCCATGGGGCCAGAGGGAGCGGGGAACAGGCGGGAACCCCATCCCCTACCGAGTTTGCAGTGGGAGCCCATGCTCTCCCTCTCGGTGGCAGCTACAGCCACCCAGCCACAGCTCCGAACAAAGGCATTCTGCTCTCGGGGACCCGAGAAGCCCCTGCACCTGCAGGCTGAGAAGTGCCTGCTCCCCCTCCCCGGGGCCTATCCCCACTCTCAGCATCCCATCCGGTGTGGAGCAAAGTTACCGCCAAGCCCAGGTGTTGTCGCAACCCAGGTGTGAGCGTGTTTGGGGCAGGAATGACATGCCAGCCCCCTGATGCCTCAGCCCCCTCTAGGCTTCAGGAGCTGACGAATGCAGAAGGGAGGCCGGGGGAGTGGCTGAGGGCAGCTCTGCCTGGACCTGCAGATGTCCCTCGGCACAAACAGCCTGGGCGCGTGGGCAACATGTTGATGTCAGGAGGCAGATGGGTTACTGGATGGAAAGGGGCAGGTTTCCAAAGAAACCCCACCTTCAAGCCAGGGAGGGCCTGAAGCCTGGGGCCAGGCTGCCAGTTCCAGAAGGAATCTACCACAGAAAGTAAGAACTAATCCTACTTTTCCCAAGCCTGCCCATGGCCACCCAATCAGCACGTACATCCTCCCTTCTGAGCCCATAAAAACCACCAGACCCAGCCAGAATCACATCCAGCCAGACCCACATGAATGTCAGGACTACCAGCTTCTAGAAAGAGCTACCCACTTGGGATGTCCTTGACTTGTCAGGACAATCTGCCTGTGGAAAGCATTATTCATTTTGGGTCTCCTGAGAGCTGTTCTGTTGCTCAATGAAGCTCTTCCCTGCCTTCTTTACCCTGCAGTAGTCCATGTACCTCATTCTTCCTAGATGCAAGACAAGAATTTTGGACCCACCATTTGGTGAATCTGAAAGCGCTATAAGACGAACAGGGCTGCTCACACCCTGCTCACCAGGTCGCAGGAGATGAGAAGGAGAGAAGAGCTGCAGCCCTTCAGGAGCCCAGACCTAGGAGCTCTGAGCAAGGGCTGTGACACCAGGGCTCTGCAGTTCCTGGCATCTCTATGCTTTTAAGCACCACCGTGTTCCCCAGTACCCACTGTGGAGGCTGTTTGTGGTACACCTGCCCCAGCCACAGCCTGGCATGGAGCTGGCGCCTGTACCAGCACTTGTAGCTACCTGCACACCTGGCTGTGCACAATGGCTGGACCCCACACTCGCTCACATACCCCTCACCGCTCTGCACCTGGCTTGCCCTTGGCAGGTATAGGATCTGGGCTGGTAGCACGAGCCGAGCACAGCCTTCTGGGCTGAGTAGTCAGAACGAGCCCAGCAGGCCTGAGCAAAACACAGGCAAAGGTGCCACTGGCCACAGAGGCTTCCGGCTGGAAAACAAACACCCAAACAATCCTGTGACATTGTTATGCTATTATTTCTTCTATGGTAAAATATGGACACCTGGTCCCTGAGAGCCAAATAACCTACTCAAAGTCACATGTTAGTGATCTACAGAGTCAAGATGCGAGCACACAGTTGGCTCCAGTATCAGTACCCTGAGCACATGCTATGGTCTCTTTAGAGTAAAAAGGTGAAATGACTATGTCAAATTCATCATTGTTGAGGCATTTTCAAATTGGTAAAATTACAGGCTTAGAAGCATTAAATAACTGGGAAATTCTTTAATGGTATGGAAACAAACCAAATGCCCACTGAGAGGTAAATAGATAAATGTGGCATAAAGATACAGTGGAATATTATTCAGCCTTAAAAAGGAAGGATATTCTGATACATGCCACAGTGTGGATGAACCTTGAAAACACTACACTAAGTGAAATCAGACAGACACAAAAGGACAAATCCTATGATTCTGCTTATGTGATATACCTAGAATAACCCAATTCAGAGAGTTGGAAAGGAGAATGGTGGTTGCCAGGGGCTAAGAAAAGCAGAAAACGAGGAATTACAGTTTAATGTATACAGTTTCAGTTGGGAAAATGAAAAAATTCTAGATTGTGATGGTTGCATAGCAATGTGAATATACTTAACCAATCCACTGTACACTTAAAAATAATTAAAATGGGAAGTTTTATATTAAGGGTATCTTACCATGATACAAAAAAAAAAAGTAGAACAAAATTACATTGAAAATTCCTAGGAAGGGAAATTTTTAAATGAAACTAACAGAAAACAAACTTTTCTTTTTGAGACAGAGTCTCACTCTGTCGCCCAGGTTGGAGGGCAATGGCATGAACTCAGCTAACTGCAACCTCCGCCTCCCAGGTTCAAGTGATTCTCCTGCCTCAGCCTCCCCGGTAGCTGGGATTACAGGTGCCCACCACTATGCCAGGCTTATTTTAAAACAGTATTTTTTGTGTTTTTAGTAGAGACAGGGTTTCACCATGATGGTCAGGCTGGTCTCAAAATCCTGACCTCAGGTGATCCACCCACCTTGGCCTCCCAAAGGGCTAGGATTACAGGCGTGAGCCACTGCTTCTGGTCCAGAAAACAAATTCAAAAAGATTAATAATTGTTTTTCACCTAAATCTTATTTAAAAATTAATTCATTCCAGGGACATGGATGAAGCTGGAAACCATCATCCTCAGCAAACTAACACAGGAACAGAAAACCAAACACTGCATAGCCTCACTCATAAGTGGGAGTTGAACATTGAGAACACATGGACACAGAGAGGGGAGCATCACACACCAGGGTCTGTCAGGGAGTCAGGGAAAGGGGAGGGAAAGCATTAGGAAAAATACCTAATGCATGCAGGACTTAAAACCTAGATGATGGGTTGATGGGTGCAGCAAATCACCATGGCACATGTATACCTATGCAACCAACCTGCACGTTCAGCACATGTATCCCAGAAC